GAGTCCTACCTCCTTGTATTCTAAGCTTGTAGATATAAAGGGTTAGTATTCCATTATCTGACACATGTTCATCACATTTTAATGTCTTACATACATGAGCCCCCAAACCATTTTGGACTTCCATTTGTTTCCAGTCTTACAGCCATTGGAAAGAGCCAATTTAATCTTGCATTTGACCATAATGAAATTGTTTTGCCCATTTGCTTAAATTATTAATAGTTTTGTAGTCTCATGCTTCGATCTACTGAGTTACTGATCATTGTGTCATTGACAAATTTGATAATGTGGCTCTGTATTCACCGCCTTAGTCAGTAATAAATATGCAGCGAAAAGAAAGATAAATATGCAGTAACTGTTTGAGGCTTGAAGAGAGATTGTTGGTCGATGTAAGTAATCACATCCTGCCAGTTAGATTCTTTGTTAGCTATCACTCCTCCCTGTCTCCTGATGGTTAATAGTTTAACTCCAGTGATGTGGCTATAATGGGATTAGACTATAATGTAATCCAAGGCTAATGTTGTGGGGTCGTGGAATCCTTCAAAGGCACATGGCGAATTTGAATTTAATAATAAAAAATCTGGAATTAAGAGCTAGTCTAGTGGTGACCATATAACCACTAACAATGACCCTAAAAACCCCATCTGGTTCACTAATGTCCTTTAGGGAAGGAAACTGATGTGCTTACCTGGTCTGGCCTATATGTGACTCCAGACCCACAACAATGTGGTTAACACTAACCTAGAGATATGCAATTAATGCTGGCCTAGCCAATGACACCCTCAAACCATGGAGAAATGAAAAGAAATTCCCATGACCAGGTGAACAACTCTACGGTTTTAGGAATTATATTTATGTGTTTTTTTAAACCTCTGAAAGCTTGTATTTTCTATAAGTAAATTTCTCAAAGTTAACAACTTCATATCCATTCTCCAATTGATCGAGGAATATTTACACCACACCAGTACCAGGCTATGACCATCTCAATCAGGATGGAACATAACCATTGCCCCTTGACATTCAATGGTGTTAATCATCACTGAATTCCCTACTATTAACATCATGGGAGCTACCATTGACTAGAAACTCAATTGGACACAGCAGATCAGAAGCTAGGAATACTGTGGCAAGTAACTCACCTTCTGACTCCCCAAAGCCTGTCCACTATCTACAAGGCACAAGTCAGGAGTGTGATGGAAAACTCCCCACTTGCCTGGATTGGTGCAATGCCAACAATGCTTGACAAGATCGACATCATCCAGGACAAAGCAGCCCGCTTGATTGGCACCACATCCACAAGCATACCACTCCCTCCACCAATGCCGCTCAGTATCAGCAGTGTGTACTATTGACAAGATACACTGCAGAAATTCACCAAGATCCTTAAACAGTACCTTCCAGACCCATGACCACTTCCATCTAGAAGGACAAGGGCAGCAGATACATGGGAACACCAGCCCCTGCAAGTTCCCCTCCAAGCCACTCACCATCCTGACTTGGAAATATATTGCTGTTCCTTCACTGTCGCCGAGTCAAAACTGTGGAATTCCCTCCCCAAGAGCATTGTGGGTGTTCTTGTGCCCACACAGACTGCAGCAGTTCAAGAAGAAAGCTCACCACCACCTTCTCAAGGGGAACTTGAGATGGGCCTTAAATGTTAGCCCGGTCAGTGACACCCCCACATCCTATGAGTGATTAAAGAAACAAACACACTTTCATTCTTTGTAAGTGTCACAAGATACTCAACAATGAGGAAGATTGCAGGGTGAACTTGCACTGCTGCCAGACCTGTACACTAACATATCAACTGGCCTTCTGGTTCTGTTGTTCTCAAGTGTATGTATAAGAATAATAGAACAGAAGGATGCCATTCAGCCCCTTAATGCTGTTCTGAATGCAATGGGATCAGGAGTGATTGATATCTCAACTGCATTGACACATTTGGTTTCATATCCTGGCAAGGAAAAACCTATCAGTCTCAGATTTAAAATGATTAATTGAGCAAGAATTACATTTTTTTAAATGAGAGAATGATCCACATTTCCACCATCCTTTTCTTCATGAAGAGCTGTTTTTAGTGTTTCTACTGACTCAGTTTTATGTTGCCCCTTGTGCTAATCATCCCCCATCGGTGAGAAACATTTCTTTCTTTATATCCGTCTATCCATCTATCTATCTATCCATCTATCTTGGTCAATTCTGTGGAAAATCTTAAACTTCCCAATCAAACCCCAATCCTATATCCTTCTATACTCCTGGGAGCACAAACCTGGTTTGTGTAACCTCTCCTTATAGTCTAACCCTTGGACCCCACAGTAACATTCTGATAAATTTCATTAAAAACAGCCAGAACATGATATATTAAAAAAAACCCTAAGGAAGTTATGGTTTTTGATATCCTAAACCACTTGAGTTGCAGCCTGCTGAACTAGTCAATTATAAGAAGGACTTCAAATAGAATGACTTATTTGGTCTGGTTACTGTTAAGCAGCTACCTTGCAAACTGGAAACCTCCGCGAGATACTGAGACAGGACTGTTAGTAAGAAAAGTTGCACATCCATTGCGTTTTCCAAACCCTTAAAACATCTCAACGCATTTCACAGCCAATGAGGTACTTTTGAAGTGCGCTTGCCATACTTAGCAGTGGATACATAGCAGTCAACATGTACACAACAAGCTCCCAAAACCAACAATGTGAATATAGCCAAATGCCTTGTAGAAAAAAAATGCTGACTGAACTGCGGATGCTGAAAATCAGAAACCAAATATAAGACGTTGCAGGACTGGCAGCATCTGTAGAGGGAAATCAGAGTTAACGTTTCGGGTCTAGTTGCCAGACCCAAAACGTTAACTCTGTTTTGTCTCCACTGATGCATTTTAGATGTTGGTTGAAAGATAAAGGTCAGTCAGGAAAACAGGAAGACTTCCTTAACCCTTCTTCAAATAACGCCATGACATGATGCACCCTAACACAGCAGTCAAAACATCAATTTATCAAGTCATCCGAGATGCCGCACCCCTCACAGTGCAGCACTCCCTTGGTACAGCATTGGGGGTACAGCCACATGCACTGTACTCAAGCCCTGGAGGTAGGATGTGAACCCACAACCTTTCTGAATCTTATTTGGAAGTGTTGTCTAAGCCATGGCTCTTACCAAGTGTTGACTAGGCCAGTTTGAAAAGTCTGCTGCTCTAAACTTCAATTATTTTCAAGAGTTTTCTTTATTGTCTCAAAGGATGTGGGCATTGTTGGTGAAGCAAACAGTCTCTACCCATTCCTAATAGCCCTGGAATTTAGAGCTTATTAGGGGCATTTCAGAGGGCAATTAAGAGTCAACCACATTGCTGTGGGTCTAGAGTCACATGTAGGCCAGACCAGGTAAGGATGGCAGTTTCCTTCCCTAAAGGACATTGTGAACCAAAAGTTATTATAATTGTCATGACCACCGTTATTCAGATTAGCTTTCAATTCTAGATTTTCTTTACTTTTAAACTCCACCAGCTGCTATGGTGGGATTTGAACCCAGGTTCCTTTGGCATGAGCAAGGGTCTCTGGATTCCAACTCCAATGACATTGTTACTACATCAGCAATTCCCCAAATGCTGGCTCACAGATGGGACCTTTGGTCAAACATCTTCTGTATGAGGCAGTTTCACCAACACAGCAGCAGACACTCAGTACTGCAGTAATCTTTCAACTTGGCTGAAGTCAGCAAGCCTCTGAAAGAATAGCTTGCGCCTGCAATGTTTAAATGCCACCAGGATTGGTTGCTAAGTTGTTATAGTGAAAAAGGCAAAAGCAATCAATTCAAATAGACTTTGGTGCCAAATTATATTGTGAATGTTCTGCAAGATTAGGTTTCTGGTACCAAGATAATGGTGTCTCTAGCTGAGAAGGAAAATGCTGTAAAATCTGAAACAAAAACAGAGAATGCTGGAAAAACTCAGCAGGTCTGGCAGTGCCTGTGGAGAGAGAAACAGTTAACGTTTCAAGTCTATTATGACACAAGATGACTCCTTTTCAGAACTGACTTCCAAAGAAGTGTCATATATTGGGCTGGAAATGTTAACTGCTGTTTCTCTCTGCACAGGTGTTGCCAGACCTGTTGAGGGTCTCCAGCTGTTTTTGATTTTATCTCAGCAACTGTGGCACTTTGGATTTAGTTTTACTTTTTAAGAAAACTGGCGTCTCCATTCCTTTGCCGACGAATAACTTTAAACTCTCACCATACTAGTTAACCTCCTGTTGAGGTGCAACTTCTATTTTGTCCCTCCTGTCCCAGGACTGATCCCAATGGCCTAGAATACTACCACCACCAACCCACCCCCTGCATCCCCCCATTATATCTCCCGCTACACAAGCCCACATCCCACAAACAAATTTAAACAAAAAACTTGCTACAACTCCCAGTTTCTTTCACCACTGATAGCTTGCACTCTGAGCAATGCAGTCATTATTGTCTTTTGAGGTCTATTTTACAAGCTCCAGAAATTCGTCCACGGTGGGGGGGGGGCTTCATTCTGTCTCCTGCCTATGTTGTCTGTTCCAACAATAACTCTCCACCCGCCTTTCCTGGGAACTCTAGCTTGATTGAAATTTGTGTGAAATTTTAATTTTGCAAGATTTGCATGGGTTAATGGTGATTGCTGTGTGCACCCATGAGTAGCCATTAGCATCTTAAATCTGAGAATGTGGTACATCTCTCCTCCTTTCTGTTTCTGACTTTTTGACCACTTCACAGATTTTGCTTGGAAACGAAATACGGTTTTGTTATTGCAGATATCATATAAATATCTTTTTTTTTTTTAAAAATTGCAGTCTGGTGGGCGAACTGTCCATGGACAGAATTGGTCAGGAAGAGGGGAAAATATCTGGTGGCATTTGAGGAGAAAGGAATTTTTTTTTGAGTCACTAGAAGAGAATGACTTTGCACAAGCACATAACTTTGCGGTACATGATCAAAACTCACCATTTCTCCAGAGAGGAGGAAGTAACACTCTATCAGAGAGAGAGAGAGAAAAAATCCCTAACCCTGGTTAAAGTATTTAAAGGCTGTCGTGTTTTTTTTCTCTCTGTGTGTGCGTTGTTTGTTTAATACGTTCCGACACAAGGGGGATGTTGAATCAGTGGAGATCTAGCAGACATCAAAGGATCGAATGACAGGCTGACGTTCGACAGGAGTTATTAAAATGCTTCAAGTCAGCATTGCTCAGAGTTGGGGAAGTTAACACAGGTAAGTCATACCTTACAAGAAGGCTCAAAACAAGTCTCACTCGCTTCCAGGTTTAAAAAATAAACAGGCACCAGATCCCCTTGAATCCGTCCAAAATCAATCAAGCTGATCCCCGCGGGGAAACCGCTTCTGTCTGAATGGAATGGGTTCAATGAATCATTTCATTTTCTGTTTTACAGGTCTCCCGTTATTGTATATTAAACATGGTAAGCCGAAACCAAACCTTCTCTTAGATTTTGCTCAGTGTTGTTGGTCGATTCGGGAATAATGGTCGTGACCAAGTAATGTTAACTGTGACTATTGAAAACTTTGTTTAGAAGTGTAATTAGAATTATTTGAACAGAAACTGCCGGAGAAACTCAGCAGGTCTAGCAGCCTCTGTGGAGAGAGAAACAGAGTTAATGTTACAAGTCCAGTCTGACTGTTCATTCTTATTTCACCAGCACTTTCAGTTTTTATATGACAGCTTCAGCAACAGCAGTAATTTGCTTTTATAGTTATTTGAACATTTTAAAAAATAACTATAATTATTTTCTAAAAAATAAAACGTAACTATAATTATTTACATTTTTTAAAAAGTAACTATAACTATTTCGATCTATTTTAAAAATGTAACAAATGATTTAAATATGTTTTAAAAATGTAGCAATAATTATTTTAACAACGTAACATAACTATTTCATTCTTTTTTTAAAAATGTAACTAATTATTTAAACTTTTTTTAAAAAGTAGCTATAATTATTTAAAACCTTTTAAAATTTAACTATAACTATTTAACTCTTTTTCAAAAATGTAACTATGGCTATTTAAACCTTCTTTAGAAATGTTACAATAATTATTTATTTTCGATTTTACCTGTAACTATTTAAACTTTGTTTAAAAATTAATCATAATTATTTAGACTTTTTTAAACTTTTGTTTAAACTTTTTTTAAAGAAGTAACTAATTATTTAAAAGCTTTTAGAATTTAACAATAACCATTTAAACCTTTGAAAAAATGTAACCTTTTTTTAATGTAGCTATAACAATTAAATGTTTTTTAAAATTGTAACTAATTACTTGAAACTTTTAAACTTCAACTATAACTGTATATGACATTTTAGATGTAACTTTAATTATTTAAAACTTGTTTAAATGTAACTGTGATAGTTTAAACATTTTAATGTCATCCAAACTATTTCAAACCTTTAAAGTGTAATTGTACGTACTTGAAACCTTTCTCATATAGCTGTCATTATTCAATATTTCTCTCCCCACACCTCAGGGTTGCTGCATGCAGGATAACTACACACCCCTGTTTAATGATGCGTTTGAGGTGATCCACCATCAGCAACATCTGCAGCCCTCAACCCAGTTCAGACAGGACCCTGGAGTCCAGTATCTGCCAAGCAAGTATCTTACTCTGCTCCTTTCACTCAGCATCAGTGAGTTTACTTGCCTCCGTCTCTTTGGGTAATTGTGCTCCCTTCTTGTTAAGGTCCTTCACTCTCGATGTACAGCTTCCAGCATTATACGGAGACTGGCCCCAGTCCTTACTGTGCCCTGAATGGACAGTCCCAACATTTACAGGATGCTGTAAGTTCAAAACTAGGTGTTAAGGGATGAACATGTTAGTGACTGGATGGGTTGGTGATAATGACTGGATTAAGTAAAAAGTTAGGTTGTTGGGGCTTCCTAAAGGAAATCTGTGTTTTATTTTCACTCAGGGGCTTAGGATTTGGAACACAAAGACTCAAGAGTAATTTCAAAAGAGAATTGGATGAATATGGGGAGAGAGGGCTGGGGGAATACGGGGTGAATAAAGAAAAATGTAAAGGAATGGGATTAATGGACAAGTGTTTGAAAGGGCCAGCGCAGACAGGATGGATAAAATGTTTCATCTCCGTGCATTCCGCTCCTGATTTCATAAAGAAATAAGAGAACAGTGATTATAGAGTTAAAGCCGAAAGAACTGCGGATGCTTTAAATCAGAGACAAAAACAGAAATTGCTAGAAAAGCTCAGCAGGTTTGGCAGCATCTGTGGACATCTCAGAAGGCCAAAGAGCCTGTTCCTGTGCCCTATTCCTCTTTTGACAGAAATCAGAGTTAACTTTTCAGGTCAAGCGGCCCTTCAGGTTCATCTGTGATTTCTCTCCACAAATGCTGCCAGACCTGCTGAGCTTTTCCAGCAATTTCTAGTGATTATAGAGTAACTGGGAATGTGGCTAAGAACAACTAAACCCACAAGATTGCCTGACATCTATATCTTTGTAGATAGCTCACTATCCAGAGATGTATCTGGGGGTTGAGTCTGGGGTCCCTGGCCAGGACTTGGTTCTAGAGCCAGAGTAAGCCCCTGCACCCCCCAACCCCCTCCAGCCCCCAGGGTAGGAGGGGGCAGGGATAATTGCTGGACCAATTCTGTGGAATGTAAGTCCTACACATTGTCAAAGCTGTACACCGAATCTGTTGAGGACGTATTGTCAAGTTACCTGCTTTGTAGGAGTTTGGAGACGAGGGCTCTTTTGAAGCCCTCACACCTTCAATGGGTTTTATATTTCTGACTTTGTGACAGCGTGGGGAGCTGTTGCTGCTGGTGGAAATGTACTTGGACCTCACCTCAATGTGCTTCGTACATCACTTCAATGTGACCTGGGGTGGGGAGTGGGAACCAAGCACACAGTCTGCTCTGTTGCTCGACTTTCAGGCCAGGAATTGCTGTGTTATCGTACCCAACCCTGAGTATGGATGGTGTGAGAGCTGCATTGTCAGAAATCACCCTGCCTCTCACTCATTTACAAAAAGGTGCATGGAAGATGCCAATAAAGATTTACAAGAATGACGCTAGAACTGCGAGCTCATACTTCTCAGAAAAGATTGAACAGTCTGGGGCTCATTTTTACCTGGACAAGGGAAGCAGCAAAACTGGTTTTGAAGGTTTTGGGAGGGATTTGAAAAGGCAGATAGAGATAAAATGTTTCCACCGTGTGGGCTAGGAAGCAAAACCACATATGTCACAGATAAACCCAATACGGTGATTCAGTGTAAACTCCCAAGATCCAGGGAAGGCTGAGAGTGAGGAACTCCTCACACTATGAATGGTTCAGGCAAATAACTTGAACGCATTGAGAGGAAAGCCAAAGGGAAAACAAGAATCAAGGCTTTTGGTGATTGGGTTAGATGAAAGGGGCAGGAAGGAAATTTGTGTGACAGGGTAAGTACCAGTTGACTGGAATGGCCTGGTTCTGTGATGGAGAATCTCTTCACAAGAACATGAGCCCCAAAGTCTGCCAGTGGCCATCCAATGAATTGGTTAAAATGTCTCTTCTAACCAATAAAAGGAAAGTCACCACAGTCCTGCGCTCTGGTTAGAGAGAGAAGACTCATGGTAATTTAGTCTGAGGATGACCACACCTCAGGCGAGGGCAGAGGAGGGTCCTTCACGGTCACATCAGCCGATGAAGGAATTAAACCCACACTGTTAGCATCACCCTGTGTCTCAGGCCAGGGGTCTAGCCAACTGAGCTGGAAATTCGTTTAGGCATTGTGAGCTTACACAAAATAGCCTTTAATTTTTCTAATTAATCATTCATAGGATGTGAGCATCACTGGCCTAATTGCCCAGAGGGCAGTCACCAGTCAACCACATATCGCTGTGGGCCTGGAGTGTCACTGAGCAGCGGTTTTCTGCTGGAATGGGTTTTTACAATAATCAGCATTGGTCATTATTAGATTTTTAATTCCAATTCAGATTCCACTGCCTACCATAGTGGGATTCAAACCTGGGTACCCAGAACATTGCCTGGATCTTTGGATGACAATACCACTATATGCTTTGATGAAAAGGTCACCCAATATTTGTGAAAGGCTACTTCTGAAAGGGAAATCTGAATAATTCTTAATCCATCCTCACACCCTCCACCCAAAAACATTTACTGAACAGCAATAATTAAGAATTAAAATGTCTTAATTGACAGTCCAAGTTGTTGCAATGCTAGCAAACAATGTGACAGCGCTGTGTTCCCTCTCTGCCCATGCATTTTAAACAAAACCCATCATACTGGGAAAGTTTCATCAGGTTAGTCAGAACTTGTGGAGAGAACAATGGAGTCAGGGCAACTTTATCAAAGCCTTTCCCGTTTCTCCATTTTGGAACATAGGAACAACAGTAGACCACTCATCCCTTCGACCCTGTTCCACCAATCATTGAAATCATGGCTGATCTGTGGTCTCACTCCACATAGCTGCCTTTGGTCCATATCCCTTAATACCTTTGCTCAACAAAAAAAAATTACCTGTCTCAGATTTAAATTTAATTGATTTAATATCCAAACCTCTCCCACCCTTTGTGTGTAGAAGTGCTTCCTAACATCTCTACTTGAATGGTCTGGCCCTCAGTCTCAGACTATACCATTCTCAGAATGTGACTATGGTTTATGAAAGGGACAATGTTTACGAATGCCACCCACAATTATTTCTAGTCCACACCTTCTTCCCTGTTGGATGAGCCCATTTCTCAACAAATGGTGATAGACTATGGTCCTTTAACTTTCTCACTGTGTCTACACTGCGCCAAATGGCCCCTTGAGCCTGTTCGCAAAAAAGAGTGGGGTAGGTCTCCCTGAAGTTGTTCAGTTGATATCCCTTTAAATGAAAAGGGAACAGGTAGGTCCGATACATGGCTCTTTGCTGGCCATGTATAACTAAATGGTTCCTTCCTTTCCCAACTTTAGAATGATTGAGCCAATGGGAACACTAAACGAATGTATAGATTCTTTATGGTTTCCGATATTGGAGTTCAGGTTCCAAAGTCTCTGGAGAGATTTGCAAAAGGACAGTTTTCAGTATTAAGCATGTTTCAGATTCAACTGACAAAGAACTTCTCCTTTCAAGACTCATTGACCAAGTAAGGTCACAGGCTGATGAGTAAGGAGGGGATTTTGTCTAAGCTTGTGATTCTAACAAGATTCGATGTTTATATCTGCAGGTGGATTTTAACCTCGACAGCAACAAGCTAGCACATGAGAATGGCTCACAGTTTCCCGGCTATTTTCCAGACAATCACTTCCAAAATTTGTTTATCCCAAGGCAAGGAAAAGGTTTGTCCTCTCACTTCCACTTATCAACCTCCCAACACCGCCCCCCCAACCTCCCACCCTCCACAACACGCCAACTCTGCCTTAATGTAGGAGCCAATTACTGCAGATGCTGGAATCTGTACTAAAAACAAAAAGTGCTGGAAATCACAGGGGGTTCACACTTCATGTCAGCTCTGATGAAGGCTCATCTAGACTCGAAACGTTAGCTTGCTCTCTCTCCATGGATGTTGCCTGACCCGCTGTGATCTCCAGCATTTTTTGTTTGTTTTCAATCCTGCTTTAATTATCCCTTCAATTATTCGGAAAGATTTCCCTTTTGGATTGTGTTTTGTTTGTCACACTACGACACATTCCTCAATCATTTTAACCCCAGAGTTTACCCCCATAGTGCCCCCATTTGGGCCCTCAGTCCAAATGCTAGCTCAGGCACAAAATAACATACTTAACTCCAGCATCAAAACAGAGAGTGCTGGAGAAACTCAGCAGATATCTGTCAAGGGAGAAATGTTTGAGTCCAGTATGACTCATCAGTTCCAATTTAGTTAACTCTGTTTCCCTCTCCACTGTTTCTGTTTTAATTTCCAATTTCCTGCATTCGCTGTATTTTACTTTTATTTTGCTGATTAAAGAGCGGGTTTGAAGGGTTTGCTCTCTTTTCCTCACTCTGTTACATAGAACATAGAGCAGTACAGCACAGTACAGGCCCTTCGGCCCACAATGTTGTGCCGACCTATTATCCTACTAAGATCAATCTACCCTGCATACCCTACATTTTACTATCCTCCACATGCCTATCCAAGAGTCGCTTAAAAGTCTCTAAAGTATCTGACTCCATTACCACTGCCGGCAGCGCATTCCACACACCCACCACACTCTGTGTGAAGAACCTACCTCTGACATCTTCCCTATACATTCCTCCAATCACCTGAAAATTATGCCCCCTCGTAATAGTCACTTCTGCCCTGGGAAAAAGTTTCTGACTATCCACTCTATCTATGCCTCTCATCATCTTGTGCACCTCTATCAAGTCACCTCTCATCCTTCTTCGCTTCAATGAGAAAAGCCCTAGCTCCCTCAACCTTTCCTCATAAGACCTGCCCTCCAGTCCAGGCAGCATCTTGGTAAATCTCCTCTGCACCCTCTCTAAAGCTTCCACATCCTTCCTGTAATGAGGTGACCAGAACTGAACACAATATTCCAAATGTGGTCTAACCATTTCATGGTTAAATTTCACGGCACCAACCATACAGCCTCCTGTGGGACATGATGCTAGTTTGAAGAGCCTGATGGCCAGAATGGCCACCTTCTATCCTATAGCAATTCCATTCACCTTTGTTGACCTTGTTAACACTGGCCTCCATTGCAGGCAGGAGGAGGCTCCGCCTTTATGAATTCCTGGGCGAGTCTCTCCATGATTCCGAGATGTCCGACTGCATCCAGTGGGTGGACAGGAATAGCGGTGTATTCCAGTTCATCTCCAAGAACAAGGAGAAAGTGGCGGAGATGTGGGGCAGGAGAAAGGGCAACCGGAAAACCATGACCTATCAGAAAATGGCTCGGGCTCTGAGAAACTACAGCCGGACAGGCGAGATTGTGAAAGTGCGCCGAAAGTTAACGTACCAGTTTGACGCCCAGGTGCTGCAGAGACTGGGAAACTGCTCGAATTCTCATTATCCCCACACCGACCATGAACACTTCGCCCGTGATCACTGGCACTTCAGTTACAATTACAATGACCTTTTCCACGAGAACTCCGTTTGAAGAATCCTGGTTTCAACCAATCCATTGCTCTTAATGACAAACTATTGCAGATACTTTTTTGTTTCAGAAGCGTTAAGCCCAAACCCGAAAAAAGCCAACATTCTAAATCCTGTAAATACCATTTAGTCTTTAAGCCAGTGTGTGTGTGTGGGATGTTTTAGCCCAGTCCAGTGTCATGTACTAAACAAACGAATAAATGTTGTCTTTTGTCTATATATTGCATAATTCACTTTAACCACGGTCACACAGCAAGGCACCTGCACAGATAGGGGCAGTGCCAGAGAAACACTCTGCTGGAGAGAGACAGCTCACCTGTGATAGGGTTAAGGTTAGGGTTAGATGTAACACAGCAATAGGGTTAGAGTTAGGTTAGGGTTACGGTTTGGGTTAGGTGTACCACAGTGATAGGGTTAGTGTTAGGTTAGGGTTAGTGTTAGGGTTTGGGTTAGGGTTAGGGTTAGGTGTAACACAGTAATAGGGTTACAGTTAGGTTAGGGTTAGGGTTAGAGTTAAAATTAGGGTTAGACGTAACACAGCAATAGGTTTATGGTTTGGGTTAGAGTTAGGGTTAAGTTTATGGTTAGGGTTAGAGTTAGGAGCAGAGTTAAGGTTAGGAGAAGTGTTAGGGTTAGGATGGAAGCAGGGTTAATGTTAGGAGCACAGTTAGGGTTAGGATTAGGAGCAGGATGCAATGGGGAAGGGGCAGGGAATCAGAGAGTAGGAGAGTGAACTCTATCAAGAGGTGAATGCAGGCGACTGCACCTACTGGAAATCTGAAATAAAGACAAAATGTTGTGGACAAACTCCAGCAGTTACTGTGGAGAGCGAAACAGGAAGAGAGAAAATGTTCTAACATTTCAGGTTGAGATCCTTTCATCAGAATCAAAGAGATAAAGGACATAAAAAATGGAAATGAGAAAATTGAGAATGAGTGATGGAGCGGTGCAGAGACAACAGGATGGGAAAAGTGAGGCAGCAGGATTGAAAGGAATTGTTCAGCAATGCGAACAGGGTATCACATGATATCCAATGCCATAGAGCAGGACAAGGCCATTTGGTCCATCATACTGATGCCCCTTTGAACACGCTAGGTATGAAGACACAATCCCTCACTCTCTCCCTGTCGTCCTGTAAACATTTCTCCTTCAATTTTTCAGTTCTGTTTGAAAGTTCCTATTGAGTCTGTTTTCAGTATCTTTCCAGGCAGAGCTTCTGGTTAAAATAATAAAATTACCTCCTGTCATCGCTGGGTCTTTTGTTCTTTATCTTCTGCCTGTGTGCGCTGGTTAACATTCGGGTTAGGATTATTGCCTTTAAAAAAAAGTAACTACATCATGTAACATGCTACAGGCTCTGTAAAAATGTTCCTCAGTGAGTCTCTCAGCCTTAGTCCCACACTAAGTGGATGAGTTTTCAAAGTGCAAAGTGACACAGAAAAAGCAACACACAAAGTAACCTCTTCACCCACAGTAATAATACCTAAACCTCTGTGAAAGGCACATCTACAACTTTGAATAAATGGAGGTAAAGTTGAATACATGGCTGGAAATCTCTTTCAGAGAGAAGCTAATATCAATCCTTTTCAGTTTTGCTGTGAGCCATTACTGATTTTACAGCTGGTAAGTGTTCATAGAATCATATGACTCAGAAGAAGGCCATTCAGCCCTATGAAAGATCTACCCTGTCGGTCCCACTCCCCTGCTCTTTCCCCATACCCTTGCAATCTTTCTTTGCTTCTATGTGTTGCTCTTATTCCATTAGCTGAAGGTGCAGAGTAGGCCATTCAGCCCATTCAGTCTACTGTACTCCACCATGCAATCTGATATTTCTCAACTCCACTTTCCTGCCTTTTTTCCATAACTCTTGATCCCCTTACTGATTAAAACTCTATCACAGCCTTGAATATAATTAATGACCCAGCCTTGACAGCACTCTGTGGTAAAGAATTCCACAGGTTCACCACCCTCTGAGAGAAGACATACCCCTATATCTCTGTTTTAACAGGTAACACCTTAGCCTGAGATGATGGCTTGATAGAGGTGTACAAAATGATCAGAGGTATAGATAGAGTAGACAGCCAGAGACTTTTTCCTAGGGTGGAGGTAGCTATTACAAGGGGACATAGTTTTAAAGTGAGTGGAGGTAGATATTGGGGAGACATCAGAGGTAGGTTCTTTACTCAGAGAGTGGTAGGGCCATTGCTGGAGAGGATAGTGGAGTCGGCCTCATTAGGGGCATTTAAGCAGCTATTAGATAGGCATATGGATGATAGTATAAGGTAGAGGTGGAGGTTAGATAGACCTTAGGATTAAGATAAAATTTTGGCACAACATCGTGGTCCGAAGGGCCTGTACTGTGCTGTACTGTTCTATGTTCTATCTATGGCCTCTGGTCCTAAACTCTCTGACAAGGGGAAACAAACTTTCTGTATCCACCCGAAACAGAATCCTGTATGTTTCAACAATGCCACCTCTTATTCTTCTAAACTCCATCGAGCTTAAATGGGTCACCATTCCACTGACCTTGGATAGTGCATTGTGGAGAATGATTGGAAATTAGCAAAATTTTGATGCCAATTTTCACCATTTTCTAACATGGAATGAAACAACCATCAAGTGGGATGTGCAATCACTTTGCGCAAGTTGCAATGAAGTATTTTGAAGCCGTGTTCTTTATCAGGAAGATGTCTGCATCTGACTAGGACCAGGAGGCTCTGATAAGCAGATACATCCTGATCCAGTGCCAGTGGCGATGTTTAGCAAGTTGCTAATGATTGTTCACAACACTCTAATCAGAAACACACACAGCCCTGAAGCAAATCCATTGGACAACCAATGTCTAAAATATATTAGAAACAAGAGTGTCAAAAAAAAAGGTGACTCCTGTATAAAAAACACAAATTCCAATTTCTCTCCTTATCCGCAGAAGCTTGTCAGGAATAGGGAATGGAGGACACGGGGTTAAACGGCTCCCACAGTTTAAGGGGGAGGGGGTGGGGGGGTGGGGAATGAGCCTGATGTCGACAATATCAGATGTCAGCATTACAACTGGGAATAGAACTGAGCCAAGGTCTTCAGAGAATCAAATTTTCCCAAGAGTGAATCTTCAGGATAAAAACAAAAGTCATTCCTACAATACAAATTTCTTGCTAAATTCTGGAACATCTGGTTGTTTTATTCACATCTACCTGTCCCTCCATATCTACCTGTCCCTCCACATCTACCTGTCCCTCCACATCTACCTGTCCCTCCACATCTACCTGTCCCTCCACATCAACCTGCCCCTCCACATCTACCTGTCCCTCCACATCAACCTGCCCCTCCACATCTACCTGTCCCTCCACATCTACCTGTCCCTCCACATCAACCTGCCCCTCCATATCTACCTGTCCCTCCACATCTACCTGTCCCTCCACATCTACCTGTCCCTCCACATCAACCTGCCCCTCCACATC